CTGTTGGTCCATTTGTTTGTTTTAAATAAAGTTTTTTTTGTATAAAAACAAGCTGTTGGTCCATTTGTTTGTTTTAAATAAAGTTTTTTTTGTACAAAAACAAGCTGCTGTTCCATTTGTTTGTTTTAAATAAAGTTTTTTGTATAAAAACAAGCTGCTGGTCCATTTGTTTGTTTTAAATAAAGTTTTTTGTATAAAAACAAGCTGCTGGTCCATTTGTTTGCTCCAGCCCCCCTAAATTAAGCCTGGTGACGCCACTGGTTAAGAAACAAACCTGATATTTTTAAATATCACGATAAAAAAAATCACATTTTCCTCTTGTTCGTTTCTGTCCTCACCTGAGTCTGGACCAGGTGTGCGAGCCAGACTCTGCTGGACCGACCTGTTCAGGTCTAGCAGCAGAACCAGGACACAGAACAGACCCAGACCTGATGAATGATCTGATCAATCAGAACCTTTAAACGAGCTCTCATCACCTGGTTGAACACCTGAAGCTCCTCCTCCAGTTCTGATGGTTCTGATGCTCAGATCCAGTCACCTTCTGGTTCTGAGGAGGAGAAGCTCCTGCAGCTCCTKCCCTCAGAGGAGGTGAAGGAAACTTCAGGCTCCATCAGAGGGAGGCGCGGCTCGTGCGCGGCCCGGGAAGACGTCACCGCTGCAGCGCGGAGCTCCATCCGTCAGGAGGGGCTTTCATTTTAAATTATTTTTATTTTAAATCAAATAAATAAAAACAGCTCATCTGAGAAAAATAAAATAATAAACCCTTCAATCACTGCCCCCCCTGAAAGACCACCTGCCTCACCTGGAGCCCAGAGCGGCTCTTCTGAGGGAATAAAAATGGTTTTATTGTAAATAAATCCCATTTTTAACCGGAAATATTAAAAATTAATTCAATCAATTAGACGCGTTTTTATTTTATTTTGTGCGTAAAAATTACCACGTTTGTGCCACGCGCGCGCGCGCGCACGGTCCAAACCCTAATTTAGGCTAAAAGCTGAAATAAATAAACAAGGTACCGGACCGGTGCGCGCATCAGTCCGCGACCCGGTTCCTGCGCAAAGACAGGAGACCCTCCAGGACCAGAACCAAGGAGGGGGCGGTCTCTACCTGTCTGAGGGGTCGAGAGTTTGACAATAAATTAAAATAAAAATCTTTTTCTTACATGAAATCTTCGGTTTTGACAGAAATCCAGGACCCCTGAAGTCCTCCAGGGTCCAGCAGAAACTCAGACCTGTGGTCCGGCAGGAAACCAAAATCCACAAAACTCCTTAAAATCCCTCGGTCCGGTTCAGTCCAGAGAAAACTTCTCCTCTTTACGTCCTCCGCTCTGTCTGATCATGGTCCACAGAGTCCGGATCGAGGGTCCACAGAGACCCCTGGTCCCGGATCCGGCGCGGAGCCTCTGCTCTCTTCGCGGGTGAAGCGGCTCCAACAGGCGGCTCCGCTCTGCTCCGTCAGCCGGGGAGTCGGTCCGAGTCTGAGAGGAGCCGCCGCGGTGAGAGCGACCTGGTTCAAGACTCACGAGCCGCTTCCGGCCGGTGGACTTTCAAAATAAGAGCCATGCATTTGACTGGTTTCTGACAGGTAAATAATAAAAACACTTACATTTGTTTGTTTTTAATATTAAAATAAATAATAAATGCTCTTGTTTTGTCAATTTAATTGATCTGTAGTTATCTCTCGTCGACATGACGGCCGGGCCGTGTTACTGCATATCAACCTTGTGTCTGTTAGCAAAATATCTCATAAACCACTGCACGGATTTTGATGAAACTTTCAGGAAATAATCATCTGATGGATTTTTTTTACAAATCACATTTTGAAGTAAAATAAATTCAAAATGGCCACCACAGCTAATCGGCCTCTGCAGATGTAAAAATGTCTCCAACTCAGTCAGTTTCACAAATATTGAGCTAAACTTTTGTGTGGTAGTGGCTGAGAGTCCTCCTCAACACAAACCTGAGGACTCCTCATTGCACAACATTTCTGCCTAAAACTTCTGTACTACAAGCATTGGAGTCAACTTTCTTTGTCTGTTAGCAAAATATCCCAAGAACCATTGGGGGGATTTTAGTGAAACTCTCAGAAGGAACTCACTTGATGTTTGTCTACAGCTGATAAACATTTGGGGTCAATTTCATTTAAGACGGCCACAATATTTGATCGAACTTAGCAAACACAAAAACATCAGTAACTTGTTCAATTTTAAAGATTTTAAGCTAAATTTTGGTGTGGTGGTAGCTGAGAGTCATCCCTAACATATAATTTGAGCTCTAATAGATTAAACAAAATGGCAGCAAGTGATTAGCATGTATTTATTAGTAAATTGCATAATGTAGTYTACATTGGTTTTGTTGTCTTTTTTTACTCCCTAATCCTGTGATTTTAAACAAAGAAAAGACAGAAAAGTCTAACTAGCTGGTAAATCCAAACGTAACGCCTCACATCTTCACTTCCTGTCAGTGTTTGATTGACAGTTTGAACCAGATTAAAGYGCAGTTTCAAATGTCAGGATCTGCAGACTTCAGGCTGATTAAAGCCGTCAACTCAGGAGTGACGGCTTTAAAACAGCCAACTAATTACTGACGTCCCATAAAACCATGTTTGGAGAGGGCCACTTTATGCCACCATAAAGCGGAGCGGCCTCCAGGAGTGTGCCACCGTGTCCACTCCACATGATTTGTTACGATCTCCGTCAACACGTCATAAATAACTAAAACAGACAAAATACTTCACAGCAGGGCAGCGAGAGAAGTACTGCCATTTCTGCTTCGTTTCACTGAAAGTGACTCAAAAAAAAAAAAAAGCAAATGAAGTATGTCATGTCTTCAGTGTGTGGTAAAACAAAATACTGTCAAAATAAATGGCTTGTTATTTTACAAAAATATGGTAAAATAGTACAGACAGATTTGTTAGTAAAATTAATCTTTACAATAAAGTCATAATTTAAAACAAGTCTTTGATTTTCTTTAGTATCAGGAGCTTTATGTCAAACATTCAACCTGTTTAAAGGGGAAAAAAGACAAGTCTCCAACTCATCTCAAACCCTTCTCAGTTTGTCACAAGTGTCTCMAACTTGTCCCAAACCTTTTTCATTTTGTCTCTCATGTCTCCAACCTGTCTTAAAGCCTCRGAGTTTGTCTCTASTRTCTCTAAMTTGCCTCAAACCCTTCTTAGTTTGTCTCCGGCATTTCCARCTTGTCCCAAACATTTCTCAATTTGTCTCTAGCAACTCCAACCTGTCTCAAAGCATCTCAGTGTGTCTCCAGTGTCTCCAACCCATGTAAAACCCTTCTCAGTTTGTCTCTAGTGTCTCCAACTTGTCTCAAACTCTTCTCGGTTCGTCTCTAAYGTCTCTAACTTATCTCAAYCMTTCTTTCTCAGTTTGTCTCTAAKGTCTCAAACTTGTTTCAAATATTGTCAGTTTGTCTTTAGTGCCTCTAACTTGTCTCAAAGCCTCTCACTTCTTCTATTGTGTCTCTAGCTTGTCTCAAACCCTTCTCAGTTTGTCTCTGGCATCTCCTGTCCCAAACCTTTTTCATTTAGTCTTTTGTGTCTCCATCTTGTCCCAACCCTTTCCCAGTTCATGTCTCATGTCTCTAACTTGTCTCAAACCCTTCTTCGTTTGCCTCTGGCATCTCCAACCTGTCTCAAACCTTTTTCATTTTGT